ATGTAGCAGTGTAATTCTCCCACATGAAATTACTGATACATCAAATCCACCTTCTGTTATGGGGGTACGGGTATGTACAAATTATGTATTATTCATTAATTGACGTACTGCACCGTAAGGCAATATCTATGGTATCTTAGACCTATAGTCTTTTATTGATGTTTCAATTTTTGTTTTGCAAAATTAAGCGTACATGTACAATACATGTACATGTACATGTATGCAGGTTAAATCTTGTGCCTTTGTGGAAACATGAAAGGAAAGACTGTGTGATGGAATATTTGTTAAATTGTTTATGTATTTGTTTTTGCGTCGTCAGAGATATAAATTTAAATACTGGTGGCACTGCTTTCAATTAACTGACAAAAAGGCGATTCTTCAGAAATTGAAACTAATTCGATTTTTGGGAAAACATATTTTTGTTAAAGTTATGTAATACCGTATTTTTGTTCACTTAAGTGTTGCTAGCAGGTAAAGGCCCAAATTTCTTAAGATGTTTTTGTAAGTTGGTCTTTCCATGCACAGATAAACATAAATTTTGCCAGCATCCGGTTCGCATGCATGTCCCTAAACGATTGACAGGGGTCACAAATAAGGGGATTCTAAGTACCCTCCCAGCCCAGTCCCTCCACAGTGCATAACCTCCTCCCTCCCCCCTCCCCCTGCGCCCCCTGATGGAGAAGATATCTTGTTAATAGTGACTGGCCGTTGAAAATTGATCCTCTGGGCTGTAGATATTAGGAATCAATCACATCAGATCCGCTTACACATCAAGGGATGCATGGAGGTTGGCTTGCATGGCTGCATGCATGGCTCGCCTTCTCCTCGCAATCTCCCCCCCCCCCCCCCCCTTCTCTTTTTTCCTCCTCTTCGCTACGGCCAACAGACTGTTGTTAATGAAAACTCCCCCTTCTGTTTTGATAGGTCCTAGCGGTTGGGAATCCCTTGCAAAACACTTGTACACGGCATGTTAAATCATTACCGTGTTTATTCTCTTGGGGGGAATGGGGGGTTGGGAACAGGGAGTTTGACATGTACAAGTTTCCGAACGTGAAACTGGAGACTTTCTGTGCGCGGGAATGAGTGATGGTTGGATTAACCGTAGTCATGCTCAGTATGCTGTCAAACGGCCAAATTAACCGAACATACACTGTACCTCTAGGGGAAATATATTATAGTTTGCATTCATTGTTTAAAGGGCCCGTATGACATGAATCTTACTTGGGAACATATGTGGTGCCATCAAGCTGAATGAGTCGTTTGCCAACCCTGGTCAATTTTTTTTTTTTTTTTACAGATTTGCAAAGAGCTCAGTCTCAGCATTACTGCTTTGAAAACCTCATGCTGGTACCATCTTTAGTTCAAATATTATTGAATTATTGAAGAACACCAAGAGATGTGATGTAGTGATGTGATGAACTGGCCCTATTTTGGCCGGAATAGAAACGAAAGTTCCCGACAAATGTACTCATTTAGCTTGATCGCATCACATATGTTGTGCAACTTTCTACTCCCCTTAAATGTATGGAAACTATTTGACATCCCATTTGGTTAATTTTATTGAAAAGTGCACTTTTCTAAGCATTTTCCTGACAATGCTTTCGTCATGACAATGCTTTTGTCATCTTCCCGACAGGGCACTGTTGCTGTAATGTCATTTCAGGAAGACACTGTTCACTTTATTTTATACATGTAAGGGCTTCTCTATTCAAAATGTGAACCCAAAATTTGCTCATTGAAAACATTTGTGAGAAAACTTTGTTCATAGGCTTACTGTCATATACTGAAACAACAACAAAACACCAAAGAAAAACTGTTTACGACAGCAAAACATCCAAAATTCTGGCAAATGTTAATTGATGGGCTCTTAAGGGGGAGGGGGACTTCTTCCTTTTTTTCAAGTCCATCTAAAAATCTTTCTGCAGTGTTCTTTGCCAAATCTGTTGAATTGTTGGGTTTTTTTGGCAGAGTCTCACAAAGTTCCCATGTCACTAATCATAAACACAAAGACTGAACTGTACCTGAACACGTACATGTACATACCTGTTATGTACAGTCACACCCACATTTTGCAGCCTACGTTTCATGTTGGGGAAGGCTGAGTGTTGAATTTATTTATTTTTTTTTTCTAATACATGTAAATCAAGTTCCCACCCCCACCAAATACCCACTGCGGCCAAGGTAGTGAAATACTTACCGAACATTGAAAATTCTCCAATAATGTTTTGACAAATGAAAATGCCAGAAAAATCTTTAGTACATTGAAATAAATTTACAGTACATTGATTGTACTACTCTACCGGTACATGTACCAGTACTTCACACCCAATTTTCTTTTTTACATGTACCTATATATTTACCGGTATATTCGTAAGTAATAATAATAGTCAGAAATAACAATAATTCCTTACTCTCTAAATATGTTCAGTCAAATAGCCTGCCTAGAGGAGGAATAATGCAAACTGGTACATCTACTATTTCTTAAGATGATGTACCATGGTATCATTTCTGACTATTGACAAGAAAAGAAATACACAACATGGTAAACGCCATCATTTCATGTAGATCTTCCCGCACACCTTATCATAGTTCTTCCCAGCACAACAGAAATAGGCGGGCGATGCCAAAGAGCGTAAATACCAAGGGACAGATTAGATAGTGTACCTGGGGCATATAGGTTACCATGGTAACCGAGCCCCAATGCAATTTTTTCTTCTTCTTTTTTTAGCCCCGCGCGGTGGCCGCCGTCGTTATTAGGAATGAGCGAGTGGCTGCTGGTGGGTTTCCCACTTCATGAGTATTGATCGCCTGGCAATTAGGCGCATTAATGCCCCGACCTGCTCGCTGTTTTACTACCCATCGCGATGATGATGATGATGATGATATCGAGATGCCGTTACTGCTTCCATCCCTACCCCCAGCATGTGACACCTGCTTTAACCCCCCCCCCCCCATTGTAACCACTGGTGCGCCTCATTCTAATCTCATGAATAATCATCTTTGCCATTCATAACGGTGCCGTGATCATCCCATATCCTGTGCACACGGTACCATCTCTCGGCCATTACCAAGTCAAATTAATTTGATATTTGCAGTCGGAGCTGGTAGTTGTGTACTCACAAATACACACACGGACAGCTCTGTAAGCCAGACTATTTCCTTGTATAAATGGAGCGTGGAGCAACTAGGGCACCGGTGGGAATTGTGTCCAATCCAACGGGGAGTCCAAATGGAAAGTGGTGTCGCATGGGGACTATACGGTACTTATTTGCTGATTGTGTCGGAAGCACCCAGCAAAGTGGACGTTAAGTGGTTACCAGCCTCCCTTCATGCTGTGTGGACCATCTGGATTGTTGGTTTTTGAACACCAGGTGAGCCCTTTAAGATGTGGGATCGTATTAGCGTAATTGGCTGGTGCACGGCTGGGGAATACCAGCGTGGGGTGATGAGGATGATGAAGACGTTTGTGGTGACTCTTGGGAAGGGAACGCCGTCACATCTCATCTTGAATGCTCTTTCTCTCTCTCTCGTGCTCTTGTTTTTCTTGACCTTGACCAGATGCAGAGGGCTGCATGGCTGTTTGATATTTTGTCTGGGAGAGAATGTTCGATGAGCTGGAAATCTGCTGTAGGTTACGGTACAATGTACAATTCATGATGTAAATGTCATACAGTTCACATGAGCTTCATACATTTCTGCTATATATATTCACACACGTGTGTGCATAAATTGTACAAAGTGTGTTGTAGAGTACCATACTTTTACAAAATAACCCGTTTTACATGTATTTGAAAAAAGGCTTGCACAGATGTCAAACATGATTACAAAACACCATGTACACATGTACATTGTAGCAAATAATTGATACCAGTACATACATTTTCACATTTAAACAAATGTTTCATTTTTTTTTTAGATTACTGTACAGAGTGATTGGTACATAAGTATACAGTGTACATTTTACCAACTGTTTCAAAAATGCAATACAGTTAATGTTTTGACTTTGATTCAGGCTCAGCCTGTGTACATGTACCGGTACATTGTACCGGTACATACAAATGTATGTCTGAACTTAGTACAGTGTTTTAAGCTGCGAATGCGATGCTGTTGCTTTTTTTCAAGGATTTTGGTTATGTACGCTTCCGTGGCTCTGATTTTAAAATATACATGTTTGTCTGTACCGGTAGCTACATCATTCCTGTGACAATGAACCATGAAAGACCGTCCTCATTTAATATTTACGTTACTGTCAGAGCAGGGGGTCATCTTCACTGAATTGGTCGGGTAATCTAGCCATTTTTTTTAGGTGTTCATTTCCATTCATATTTTATTTGTTAATTGCTTCAAGTTTTACTGCTTTTGTATGCATGCCTCTTTGTATTATACCGGTACCAGCATATTATACCTGGGGCGGGTCTACAGCTGATGGGGGTCAGGGGTGTTTTAGGGGGTGCGGGGGGATCTAGTCACCCCTCCCCCCATCCATTTGGGCCGCAAAAGAGTGGGAAAAAATGCTGAAAAAAAGTAGAACATGCCTGTTATATCTCCCTTTTACAACAAAACCTGTTCCCTTGAGCCAAAGCCTTATCAGCCCATGTACAAGTACACAGTAGTGTGCATCTTCCAAGAGTCCTGGTGTGGTATTTGTTTCTATGAAGAAAACAATAAAAGGAGCACAGTTTTGCAAGAAAAAAGGACTTGATATGAAATGGCTGATGAAAGTTTAAACCTTGGGAATTGCTTTTTGATTCCAGCTACTGCATCATCACCCACACACTAACTCCCATGAGCTTCTGTGGCTGACTCGGTCATTTTGTTTAATTTAAAGGTTGTCAAACAAATTTCCCCAAAGTAGTCAAATATGCATTGGAGAAGTGCAAAAAATGCATCTAAAGAACCCTACCCAAAGGTTCATTCAGGTACCGGTAGTATTTGCTCCAAAAGCCTCTTAGTAATCCTGTTTTTGTTTCTTATTTTTCTGTCTTGCCCAAAAAAAACAGCGGAGGGAGGAGCAGTACCAGAAGTGGCAGAGCTTCAAGGCCAAGCAGCGCAGCGACAAGCACACCACCCTCAAGAAGAAACTGGCCCTGCAGCAGCAGCTGATCCAAGCCCATGACGAGCTGCACTTTCAGCGGCAGGTGCAAGAGGAGCGGCGCCAGGCCGAGGTGAGTTTGTAGCGTTGGAAGAAGATGACAGCGCTGCGATGTAAGGTGTGCTGGCTTTTTTCCCCTGCGCTAAACTCGCCATCGTCTTCCCCATCCACTCTCCTCCCCTTTGCAATTATATTCCATCCCTGAATTTTAAATCAGCAACTACCGTTCGTCGACTCGACACTTGTAAAAAAAAAAAAAAGCAGGATGATACGAGCTTGCTTTTGCAGCTGCCTGTTCCGGGCAGTCAACCAGACATCTTGTGATGCTTTTCTTGCCGCACCGCTGAGAGGTTTAGATATTTTTTTCCTGCCTTTTTTCCTCCCTTTTTCTCCCCATGTTGGAAAGGTTAAAGTACTGTAACACTCAAGGGAGATTATGTGCGGCCAAAATCGTTTGGGGATTGTCTGAAATGTCAGAGAGGTCGCTAAGATTTAGTCTGAATGGAGGATTTCCCACTGCTTTGGCTCCAAAAAAATACATTTTTCAGCACAGCCAAAAACTGAAAACAAAATTCATGAAAAGCCAGCAGGCTGGGAGGGTATCTCATTTCATTTGCTTCTGCAAGGAGAAACCCAAGACAGTGCCTGTGTATCTTTCCATGACATGGCCGGAAGGGTTCCGTGGCCTTAATTATTTTTGCCGATGCACATCGCATCTGACACCTTCTCATTTTGATGAAAATTAATGAACAAACATGACAGTTTTTTTGTCTGACAGTGAAAACTCAATACGCGGCCCATCACCAGGGTTATCATAATACACGTGTATCACTCTTGACGTTCCGCACATTTTTGTACAAAATATTTGTAAAACGAAAATCAACTTTTTTTTTAACATGTACAGCGTGTCAATAAAAATGTAGCAGTCAAACAAATATTAAAAATACTAGCACTCTCTTTTTGCAAAACCTATCTACATGGTATAGAGTCTGAAGTTGCATGTATAGTAAGTACTCTACACAATGGTCTTTTATCACATCTCATTTGGACACCCCATTCCAGAGACCTATACAGCTATAAAGTCACTTGAATTTCAAGTTGAACCACTTTTCAGATTATCTGATATCTAATGAAAGGCATTCACATACCAAGAAGGTGCGTGAATGCCTTTCATTAGATACCAGATCATCTGAAAAGCGGCCCAAACAGATTTTGACCGTCCTTACAAGCTTTGCCATAAGTTTTAAACAGAAGGTCCAAATCACACAGAACAAATTTATGCCGTCAAGGGTAAAGAAACACTCTATCATCTGATGGATGACTCGATTTAGTTTCCTCAGAAAAAATGTTGTTTTGACTGCTACATTTTTGTTTGAGACACGCTGCATGTATGACCAGCTATTTTAAGGTTTGATCAATGACCTTTACATTGAAACTCCTCAAAATGTCTTCAAAGTCTGTCTTACATGTACATCCCTTTCCCTAAAACTTCCCTCAAATAAAATACGCAATTTGATACCATTGGTTTGCCCTAATGCCGCTTTAATCCTGGTACAAATGACAGTTTTGGCTGAATCTATTTATTCTTCCCTCCGACTTCCCCATGTCCCTCTACACTAAATCCTTGATGCATCACTTAAGAGAGGATCCGTTTTCCTTTCTTCGCCATGATAAATGGAGGTTTTTTTCAATTCGTTCTCCCCCCCCCCCCCCCCCCCCCACCCTCTTTTTTGTTCAATGTGTAACGCATTCCAAACGAAATGTGACAGGGTTTTAAAAGAGTCGCGTTTGTTCGGAGTGTTCTCATCAAGGTGACCGTCGTGACAGGCATTTTGTAACGTAACGCACTATCGACGTCCATCCCAAGTCGCACTGTCACCGGCGACCTCAGCGCAGCTCAGTTCATCAATAGCTCAGTCTCAAGCAGACTGATTAATGTACAGCCTTGTGTTGGCATTAGGACTTTTACCCTTAAGGTTTTTTTTTTTTATCATCCCTGGGTTGATTGTATTAAAGCCAACCGTCGTCTTCTGAGGGCTTTGTGCCCTGATGTGTAAGGCAATCCGTTGCAATCCACCTTGTAATGAGGGGATGAGCGTTTGTTGAGACTGGCCATGTTGCAATAATACTCTGGTTGTCCACTTAGGTGTGCTTCGCTGGGACATGGTACCGGTACTTTTCGAAATGCTTGTCTGGATTTCGTAGAAAAAGACTTAATTTTTTTTTATGTCTCAGGGATGTTTTCACTATTTGTGCTGTCTTTGATATGTTGGTCTGTTTTGTCAGTCTGTTTGTGTGGTGTGTTTTTTTTGGTCGGTCCACTTCTTTGTTTCTCAATATTTCAGATATCAAATTTGTGGTGGTTTTGTTTATGGCTTTCCCTACTTAAGCTGTAATGATGGGGATATATATCCCAATCATTACAGCTTAAGTAGGGAATTCCATAAACAAAACTGAGAAAAAAATTGATATACCGTACATGTAGGCTTTTGCTTTTTATGTGTGTGGATTTCATAAACTTTCCAAATGTGGTTAAAAGCTAAATGCTGTTAATTTTAAAACTGAAACTAGTGGAAGAGAAATTAACCCCATGAAATTGCAGGAGAAAAATTTTAAACCTAAATCAGCATAGTACCGGTACCGGTATGTACATATGTACCGTTACATGTATGTATGTACACAATGCATGGGCAAGACATACATTTGAACACATGGATGAAGTAACATTTATTATACTACATGTACCAGTGTAGCGTGAATGTCCGACTCCATGAAATGTGGACTCATTGGTAGTACTGCGCACGCATGAGTACGATACTATGCTATTTTTAGAATCTTTTCGGGAGAGTGACCTGTCACGTGCGAGGGATCAACCAATAATAGGGAAATAGGGGTCCGATTTTCATAGGAGTCGGATTTTCATGTGACACCGGTACATTGAAATTGTGCCCTGAAATGTTCCCCAACCCCCACTCCCTCTACCCCTCTCAAAAGAAGAAGGACTGTTTTGTTCTAGTTTATGAAATTTCAGACCAGCATTTCTGAATTTGTGTACACTGTATTTCTGTATTTTGTTATAAATAATGTTATCAGAAATGAGGTTTATTTTTTTAAAAATTTATTGGGATGTTAATTTTCAACAAATCGACAGTCATTGTGGATTGGTAAACATCGGTCAATAAACCTTTTGTTTCAAAATGTCTTTGACATGACAGCCTCAGTTGGAGCAACGTGCTTCGTTGGTTGCAGCAAAAAGCAATAAGATTGATCCCTGGCCATTGACAAAAAACAACCAAATTACAGGAACATTGCACGCCACCCCTATTATTCCCAGAATATTAGTGCAGTCAATTTTGATTTTTCTTTTTTTCCAAAAGGCCCCTGGGATTTGATCCGTCTTCAATGCAGCGCCGTCCTCTCGTAGAATTCTTGAATCGTTTACATGTAAAACACCCACAGAACGCCCGTTTACCCTCCCAGTATTACGGGACTTAGATTTTGCTGAGCTCTGCATTTCTCTGGTGAATTCTAACCGATGTTTATAGCCTCTCAATGTCGAGACTGGCGTAATAGGATTTCGTGCCGAACAAGGAATAATTTTCCTTCCACTTTCGCATTGCATTGGATTCACTTCTAACCTAGAGGTTTTTTCCCCGGTGTAGCATTGTTCAGCATGCATGCACATCTCAGTGGTTGATAGAAAAATACATGCCTGCTTTTGTTGCAAGTTTTTCTTGACAATAAAAGAGCAGTTTGTCGTCTGTTTTATCGATACTGCAACCCACAATGGGAAACTGTCTAGGTTCACTTTAAATCAGTATTAGGTTGAATGAAAGAAAGTGACTAGAGTGGATGAGGGGTAGCGGGTTCTAATCCAACTCTGGTCAATTTTTTTGTTCAACGTACATGTAGGCCTACTAATCATATATGTTAAGACAAGATGTTCTTGTGCTTGTTGAGTGTAGGCCTATTTCTCTCATGAAAAGAGAACATCAGCATATGAGCATGTGACTTGTCTTGCTTCATTTCAGTCATTTTCAGAAATGCTTTTGACAGATGTGACTCTCCCGCACCAAACCAGTCACTTGACTCATTTTGAAAGGACATTGAATAAGCTTTCTGATGGGTATCGGACAAAATCTAACGGAGTTGCACTGTAGGTTTTGGCAGTTCCCAATTTCGGGCTTGGTAAACCAAAAAAAATTGAAAATTTGTCTTAAAACTTTTCCAAATTAACTCCTTAGAAACTTCGTTGATAGTGAAATTGTCTGAAAAGTTTTCCAAATTAACTTCTTAGGAAATATACAAATTAGCTTCATTGATAGTGAACCACTAATGCCTAACTCTGAATTTCCGTAATTTTTGCTTGTACAATGTATTACAGTTAATCCAGCGAATAAAATTAGAATCCATTTTTCAGGAGGCACCTCGTTCGCGCTTATGTTGCACGTGTTCTTAAAGACGAGGCGGGCGCGCATTTTGGTAATCGTTTTGGTCAAAGGAGTCCGGAGTGCGTGTGTACTACCTGAGTGATACTCACGCAAGCCTGGTGCCACCTCAGAAAATGACTGTCGTTGGATTAGTCTATAGGATGTACATGTATCTCAAAATACAGTCGTGCAACTTCCGTCTGGTGTTGTGCTGGAGGGTTACAAATTATGAAAGTAAAGCGTTGAAAACATGTACCTGTGTTTGTCACATCTAAGACATAGTAAAAGTCCAGTCTGTTAGCAATTCGGGCGATTCATAATGCAGTGCGCCACCAAGAGTTTGCCATGGAGAGTCCATTTTTTCAAATTTACGGTCGACAAAACATGGCCCATTTGAATGAGTGTCAGTAGACAACTTGAGCTTATTTGTAATAGATTGGGGCATAGCGTTCTGCCGCCTTACAAAAAACACCATATTGATAAAAAGAAAAGAAAAGTGCAAACTGATACTCGAATCATACGCTTACGAAACTACTAACCGGAAAAAACGAACAATTTTAAATGTCCCGCGCTGCGAATTTGTTGACCATCTCCCACAATGCACTGGGAAAAATTAAGTCTCTGTGGCAAACTCTTGGTGGCG